GAAAACGATCTTTTATCTTACTCTAATATATGTATAAGAATAAAGAAGTTGGTTTGTAGGTAAATATTAGTTGTTTAAGATAAGGAAAATCTACTAAAGATGAGTCATTTTAAAAAATAAACTTCTAAAATATTATTTTAATAGCAAAAATATGCTCTAGATAAATTAACACAGTGCATATTTCATTGTTTTTCATCAACAAATTTTACAATTTAGATGAAGAAATTGGTATTGTATGTCTATTTATTTTTCTCAAAGAGCCTAAAAAATTCAGTAAAACTTGGAGTCTTTAAAGGTCACAAAAATAAATTTTTAACTAAAATTCTATGCTGTATATGCTTTTATAATCTACTAAAGGCTAGCATAAGCCAACATATTTGAAACATCAAGGCTTTTCTGTTGGGCGAGTACATGTTCTGGTCCTTACATTTTCATATCATTGTCTGTACTGGGCTGTTTTAATACGATGGATGTTACAATTTGGGATATCTTCACATAGTAGGGAAAATACACTTTTGGATTTGTGTTTTTATAAATCAACAAAGGTATCAAATAGACATTTTTATACCATTCATGGTCTTTACCTTAATATTTGTTCCATCCTGACTCTTAAAATTCAAGTTGTGGGAATTTATGATTAGTGCTACACTGAAGTTTAAGGGTCTAGTTTGTGGAGACTTGAAATAAGGGTAGAGTGGGAGTTGTAATGAATCTTTGGAATAGGCTGAGTGAAATGATAATAAATAGGGTGAAATGTATATGAGGACTATCACTGTAGAATTAGATGGTGAGAAGAAGAAAGAAGAGATGATAATACAAACAACAGAGGGGTGGGTTTATAAAGAGCTAAAGTGAGGATGAGGTATGAGGGAATGGAGAAGATGTGGGTTGGGGATAAGTAAGATAAAGGATGCAATGGAGTTGAATTGGCTTGAGGAACACTTATAGTGGATTAGTGTATCTGAGGACAGTGTAAACTTTAGGGTTATTTTTCATTAACTAATGAAATAGAGTTTCAAAACAGCAAGAAATGAAAAAATATTCTCTTCAAAATAATAAATCAGAACTTCATTTACTTTAAAGCTATAGTTTTATTCTAATTTTTGTTTTCTTTTTAGATTTCCTCTCATTTTCCACAAAATTACCATCCACAGATCTCTGTTCTTAAAATGTTTACTGAAAAAGGCACATATACTGTGTAACCTGTGATATATTAAACACACTTTGCTATATTTTGGATTTTTTTTACTTCAAAAACATACTTAAAACATAATGATTATATGAATTTTGTTATGAAATTTTTTATTGAAAAAAACCTATCGTCTTTACTCTTTCTGTGTAATTAAAATATTACTGAGTGACTTAGAGAATTAATTAGATAAGGAGAACCCTAAGATAGGGAATAATCTTTGAAAATAAATAATGACATGCTATTGAACATTTGCATTGCTCAATTCAACAATTACTAATAGTGTTTAGAAAAATAAAAACAAGGCTTCTCTATAAAGAACATTGGCTACAGGGTTGAGAATAATATTACACCATCTTCACGTTTTATTGTTTTTTATGCAAACTTGTCTTTTATTCACTTTTGGTAACAAACACAGCCATCTGTCATTAAAACATTATTTCCACTTGATACTTCTCCTTTTAATTTTCTGATATTTGGTATTAGCACACAGTAGGTATATACTTCTTTCTTCAAAACAGTGGTCAGTGATGTCAGCAGGCATCTGTAAATAAAATATTATTTTTTTAAAAGTTCTTTTTTATTGATTACAATTTTTTATTGATACAAAGTTTATTCACTTTGTATTCCAGCTGTAGCCCCCCCTCCTTCCCTCCCAATCCCCCTGTCCCTCTTTTTTCTCCTCCCATGCCCCTTCCCCAGTCCACTGATAAGTGAGGTCTTTCTCCCCTCCCATCTGACACTATCCTATCAAGTCTCATCAGGACTGGCTGCATTGTCTTCCTCTGTGGCCTGGAAAGGCTGTGCCCTGACTCAGGGATTGGTTACCAAAGAGTCAGCCACTAAGTTCATGTCAGAGGCAGCCCCTGTTCCCCTTACTAGGCAACCCACATGGAGACTGAGCTGCCATTTGATCAACCATGTTTGTAGCAGTTTTACTTATAATAGCAAGAATCTGGAAACAACCCAGATGTTTCTCAGTTGATGGATACAGAAATTGTGGTACATTTACACAATTAAAAACTACGCAGCAATTAAAAACAAGGAAATCACTAAATTTGCAGTCAAATGGTGGGAACTAGAAAAGATCATCGTAAGTGAGATATCCCAGAAGCAGGAAGACACACATCATGTATACTCCCTTATAAGTGGATAACAGACAAATAATATAGGATAAACATATTAAAATCTGTACATGTAAAGAAGCTAAAGAAGAAGGAGGACCCTGGGTAAGATGATCAGTCTTCATTCAGAGAGGCAAATGGGATAGACATTGGAAGAGGGGAAAAAAAACAGGAAACAGGACAGGAGCCTCCCTCAGAAGACCTCCGAAAGACTCTGTCCAGCAGGGTATCAAAGCAGATGCTGAGACTCATTGTCAAACCTTGGGCAGAGTTCAGGGAATCTTATGAAAGAAGAGGGGGGTAGAAATAGGAGGGGACAGGAGCTCCACAAGGAGAGCAACAGCACCAAAATATCTGGGCCTAGGGGTCTTTTTTTGAGACTGATACTTCAACCAAGGCCCATTCATGGAGATAAACTAGAATCCCTACAAAGATGTAGCCCATGTTTGATTCTTACTTGACAGTTTCACTTAATTTCTTAAAACTTTAGAGAGAACAGGGGAGACCAAGATAGCAGTGACCAGTGTGCACTGTATCTGAGGGGCACAGGATCCAAAACTCCAAAATTGGTGAGTAGAGGGGCAGCTGAAGCCAGAATATCGACATTGAGGTTTCCTGGGCAAGAGGTGACAGTTTGGATTCTGATCTGGGACAGTTTGGATTCTGGGACCTGAGAGTGGCAAATATTTGACCTCCTGCACTTCCTGTTGCCCCAAGGACAGACTTTCCTGCTTGGCAGAGGCAGCAGTGGTTGCCTCAAGCATGAGCCTCTGTGCTTGTTGGCTGAGTCGGCAGAGACAGTAGCAGTACGGGCCTCCCAGGTCTTTAGCTGAGGCAGCAGCTGCTGCCCCAAGCAGGATCCTCCATGCTAGTTAACTGACATGGCAGACCCTGCTGTCCCAAATACGAGTCTTCTTGCCAGCAGCCGAACAGTGGATACTACTGAGCTGGGGGATCTTCTACACTTTCATTTGCCCCTGAGGCACCAAATCTGAGAGTAAACCCTGAGGGTTTGGAAACCCTGTGCTTTCCCCATTGGTCTGATGTGAGTACTCACTTGAAGTGAGTACACCTTCAAGTGAGTGTGTGCAAAGCCCCAGACCCAGGGTCCGTCTACACTGGCAGCCAGACATTGGATCTCTCACACTCACTGTGGGCAACATAAGGATTCTGTTCTGTGGGTCTCCCAGAGGAGTCTAGGCAAACAATTCCTGGAGTCAAGATGGTGCAACACAGAAAGATCTGAATACCTGGAGACCTGAGGACCTGTGGGCCACTGAGGAATTAAGGGAACCTGCACATGCCCATACACCTATGAAACGTTCCAGCACTCCCTCCTGGGCCAGCATTCCAGGCATCTACATGTACTAGCCCCTGTCCTTCAAGGCACACTTCCACACACACTCCAGCGCTTGTGCATATGTACCTGTGACATTCCTCCTTTAGCTACAACTGAAACATCAATATCCACTCTCAAACTTGTGAACCTCTCTCATTTGCCTGAAGAATACTCCAGACACTAGAGACAGACAGACCCAGTCTGTACAGACAACAGGAACAAACAGCAAAGTTTACAGACAAGCAGATGACTAGAGGTAGGTGGAAGAAAATATCCACAAAAAGTCAGGACATCTTGGTTTCACCAGCAATCCCCAAAATCAATGGATATGCTAATTCAACAGAAACACAGAAATATGAACTCAAATTTATGCTTATTCAGTTATTAAAGGTACATAAGAGGAAATGAACAAAGCTCTCAAAGAAATATAGGCAAATACAGCCAAACAAATAGAGGCACATATAGAGGCACATGTAGAGGAATATAGAGAGGAAATGAACAATAACAAAAACAAAGAGGCCATCATGGAAAGACAGGAATCCACATTCAAACAGATGAATAAAATGTTGCAAGACATGAAAACAGAATTAAATTCAATAAAGAAAAGACAAACAGAAAACCCTAGAACTGCAGAACTTAGAGAAAAGAACCACAAAGATAAGCATCACCAACAGAATACCAGGGATGGAAGAGAGAATCTCAGGCACTGAGGATACAATTGCAGAAATTGATATATCTGTCAAAGAAAAAGTCAAACTGGAAAAGTTCCAAACACAGAACATCCAAGAAATCAAAGATGCATTCAAAAGAGGAAATCTATGAATAACAGGAAAAGACAAAAAAGAAGATTCCAGGCTCCAAGGTCCAGAAAATGTTTTCAAGAACACAGAAGAAAATTTTCCTACCTTAAAGAAAGAGATGTCCATAAACATACAAGAGGACTCCAGAACACCAAATAGACTAGACTAAAAAAGAAACTCCTCATGTCACATAATAGTCAAAATAGTAAATCTACAGAACAAAGAAAAAATATAAAAACAGCAAGGGAAAAAGGCCAAGCAACATATTAAGGTAGAACTATTAGAATTATAAAAGTCTTCTCAAAAGGAACTATGAAACCCAGAAGGTCCTGGGCAAAAGTCATGTAGGCTCAAAGAGACAACACATGTCAACTCAGATTACTATATTCAGCAAATATTTCAATCAACATAAACAAAAAAAAAATCCATGACAAAACTAACCTTAAACAGTATCTGCACAGCAACCCAGCCCTACAGAAGATATTAGAAGGAAAAAGCCAATATAACGAAATCAATGACACCCAAGAAAACACAGGCTGTAAGTAACTTCATACAAAAACTAAAAAGAAAAGAAGCATAGAAACACAGTAACAACACCATTTCCACAATGGAATTTACATTCATTGGTGACCATTATCTATCAACATCAAATGACTGAATTCTCAAAAAAAAAAAAAGACACAGCCTAACAGATTGGTTGTAGAAACAGGATCCAATGTCCTGCTGCACCCAAGAAACACAACTCTGCAACAAAGATAAACGCTACCTCAGAGTAAATGGCTGGAAAAAGGTTTGTAAAGCAAATGGACCCAGAAAACAAGCTGGGGCAGCTATTCTAATATCTAATAAAATAGACTTTCAACCAAAATTAATAAAAAAAAATGAGGAAGGGCACTTCATTCTCATCAAAGGGAAAATCCATCAGGAGAACATCACAATCCTGAGCATCTATGCCCCAAATACAAAAGCCCGTGCATTCGTAAAGGAAACATTGTTAAAGCACAAATCACACATCTACCCCATCACCTAACAGTGGGAGACTTCAACATTCCACTCTCACCAAGGGACAGATCATCTAGAAAGAAGCTAAATAGGGAAATAATGACACTTACAAAGGTCTTAAATCAAATGGACATACTAGATGTCTATAGAACTTTTCACCCAAACTCAAGAGTATATCTTCTTCTCAGCACCTCACAGAACCTTCTCAAAAATTCATCATATAGTTGGACAAAAAGCAAGCCTCAACAGATACAAGAAGATTGAAGTAATCCATTGTATCCTCTCAGATCACTATGGGCTAAAACTAGACCTCATCAACAACAGAAATAACCAAGAGACTCCATACACATGGAAACTAAACAACTCTCTATTCGATAACAGCTGGTTCAGGGAAGAAATGAAAAAAGAAATTAGAGACTTCCTAAAATTTAATGAAAATGAAGGCAGAACATATCCAAACTTGGGACACAATGAAAGCAGAGCTAAGAGAAAGGTTCATACCACTAAATGCCTCCAGCAAGAAGTTTGAGACATCTCATAGAAGCAATTTAATGGCACACCAAAAGGCATAGAAAAAAAAAAGAAGAAGCAGACACACCCAAGAGGAGTAAATGATTGGAAATACTCAAACTCAGAGCTGAAATCAATGAATTAGAAACAAATTAAACAATTCAAAGAATCAATGGGACCAAGAGCTGGTTCTTTGAGAAAATCAACAAGATAGACAAACACTTATCCATACTAACTAAAAGGCAGAGAGAAACTATCCAAATCAGCAAAATCAGAAATGAAAACAGGGATATAATGAGAGACACTATGGAAATCCAAACAATCATTGGGTCTTACTACAAATTTCTATATGTCACAAAATTTGAAAATATAAACTAAATGTACAATTTTCTTGATAGATTCCGTTTACAAAAATTAAATCAAGATCAGGGAAATAGATTAAATAGTCCTCTATGCACGAAAGAAATAGAAGGAGTCATCAAAAGTCTTCCTTCCAAAAGAATCTCATGGCCAGATGGTTTCAGCACAGAATTCTACCAGACCTTCAAAGAATTAGCTCAAAGAAGAGCTAATTCCAATTCTCTTCAAACTATTTCACAAAATAGAAATAGAAGGAACATTACCAAACTCATTCTATGAGGCCAAGTCACCTTGTTACTTAAACCACACAAAGACTCACCAGAAAAGAACTTCAGACCTATCTCTCTTAAGAATATTGATGCAAAAATACTCAATAAAATACTGATAAACCAAATCCAAGAACACATAAAAGATACCATCCAATATGAGCAGGCATGCTCCATCTCAGGCACGCAGGGGTGTTTCAATATATAGAAATCCATCATGGTAATCCACCATATAATCAAACTGAAGGAGAAAAACAACATGATCATTTCCTTAGATGGCTAAAAAGCATATGACAAAATCCAACAGCCCTTCATGTATCAAGTCTTATAAAGTCAGTGGACTGGGGGAGGGGCATAGTGAAAAAAGAGGGAGTGAAGGAGGGATCTGGATGAGTTGAGGGAGGGGGCCATACCTAGGATACAAAGTGGGTAAATTTTAATAAATAATAAATAAATTTAAAAAGAAAAATAAAATCTACTTAAATGGAAAATTAAATGTAACTTGCAAAAGCAGTGACAACACGTAAATAAAAAGCTTACCTTCTGATAATAAATTCCTATCACCTGGCTAGAAGTGAGGTTTTTTTGCCTTTACTTCAAATTCAGGTGTATTTAAGTATTGGCCTCGGACTTCACTGTATTTTGGTGAGCTTCGACGGCAATGTACCTGGAGCTTACGGTGCTTTGGTAACAAGGGGAAAGGGCCTTGCAAAGCCTGGAAATGTTGCTTCTTAGGACGGATGGTTACTTCATTCTCTTCCTCTGATGTTAGTTTGTTGACAGCCATATCTTTATTTTCATTTTTGGGGACAGCTGGGAGAATATGGAGCCCCTTACTGTTTGCAGGTGCTTCTAATTGCTCTCTACAGGAACGCCGAAAGATGGATCTTTCTCTAAAAGGACACATGATTCTTGCAACTTCCATATCAGCACTTTCTAGGGACTCTGTATTTTTTGAAGATTCCATCCATATATTTCTTGGGGTTCCTGGGCGAGTGTATTGTGAGGATAGTGAACATTTCTTTATTAAAGTCTCCAGGTGTACAAACCCAGTGAATTGCAAAGTTGGAATTTCTGTATCATCTTGCTCCTCTTTTACAGGCACACCAGCAACCAGTATTTCGGTGCCATTTCCCTTTTCTTCTGGACTGACAATTCTAGTAACATCTAACCGTTGAAATTCTGGACCGCCTGGTGACTTAACCTGTACTTTCTCTATGCGAAGAAGTGCTGAAGGTTTTGGCTTTACAAGGACAGTGCTTTCTAACTTCTTAGTTAGCTGGGGAGTAGTAACCATCACTGCCTGACTCATAAGCCCCATATCCCTCTGACCTTCTAGGGTCGGTTGCTGTGAGGGAAAAGTTGGATTTTGTTTTGGTTTTCTGGCCCTTTCCCAATTTTCCACAGTAGTAGGGCAGAAATGAGTGAACTCATCAGAAATATTTTGAGCATGTCTGTATTGGAAGTTCGGATTCATTGAAACAATCTGAAAGAAAATTTAAAGATACAAGTTTTTAAGTAAACACTTTGAATATATTCTTGATTCTGATACATTATATCTTTTATAAGGACAGCAAGACACTAATGAAGACACTATAGACATTTGTTGATTACTCAAAACTGAGAAATTGAAAGATTTCCACCAATGTGATGTATTTCAGGAATATATGATTTTTTTTGTTTTTTTTAATTATTTTTTGTTAATTACATTTGATTCACTTGTGTCCCAGCTGTAGCCCCCTCCCTCATCCCCTACCAATTCCACCCTCCCTCTTTCATCTCCTCCCATGCCCCTCCCCAAGTCCACTGATAGGGGAGGTCCTCCTCCCCTTTTCCTCTGATCCTAGTCTCATCAGCACTGGTTGCATTGTCTTCCTCTGTGGACTGGTAAGGCTGCTCCCCCTCAGGGGGAGGTGATCAAAGAGACAGTCCCTGTTCCTATTACTAGGGAAAAACACTTGGATATTGAGCTGTCATAGGCTACATCTGTGCAGGGGTTCTAGGTTATCTCCATGCACGGTACTTGGTTGGAGTATTACTCTCAGAAAAGACCCCTGTGCCCAGATTTTTTTTTTTGGTTCTGTTACTCTCCTTTTGGAGCTCCTGTCCCCTCTAAGTCTTTCTATCTCCTCTTACTTTCATAAGATTCCCTGCATTCTGCCCAAAGTTTGGCTATGAGTCTCAGCATCTGCTTTGATAGACTGTTGGCTAGAGTCTTTCTGAGGCCCTCTAGGTATGCTCCTGTCCTGTTCCCTGTTTTCTCCCTCTTCAGATGTCCATCCTTTTTGCCTTTTGGAGTGAGGATTGGTCATCTTACCCAGGGTCCTTCTTCTTGCTTAGCTTCCTTAAGGTGTACAGATTTTAGTATTTTTATCCTATAGCATATGTTTGATATCCACTTATTTTTTCAAGTTCATAGAACTTGTTTAACTTTTTTAATTTTAATTTTTTATATTAATTACAGATTATTTGTTTTGTATCCCAGCTGTAGCCCCCTCCCTCATTTCCTCCCAATCCCACCCTCTCTTCCTCATCTCCTCCCATGGTCCTCTCCAAGTCCACTGATAGAGGAGGTCCTCCTCCCCTTCCATCTGACCCTAGCTTATCAGGTCTCATCAGGACTGGCTGCATTGCCTTCCTCTATGGGCTGGCAAGGCTGCTCCCCCCTCAGGGGGAGGTGATCAAAGAATCAGCTACTGAGTTCATGTCAGAGACAGTCCCTGTTCCCCTTGCTAGGATACCCACTTGGATACTGAGCTGCCATGGGCTACATCCGAGCAGAGGTTCTAGGTTATATGCATGCATGGTCCTTGGTTGTAGATACAGTCTCATAAAAGACCCCTGTGCCTAGATATACTTGGTCCTTGTGGAGCTCCTATCCTCTCCAGGACATACTAACTCCCCCTTCTTTCATATGATTCCATGTACTCTGCCGAAGGTTTGGTTATGAGTCTCAGCATCTGCTTTGATACACTGCTAGGTAGAATCTTTCAGAGGCCCTCTGTGGTAGGCTCCTGTTCTGGTTTCTACTTCTTAAAGACAATAAACAAGTTATCTTTGAGAACACTTTTCAAATGCAAGCCAAACAAACCTATAGTCCATACTTCCAAGTACCTCAGTCTCAAGGTCACTATTGCCTGACCAGTCATTTTAAGGACTGGCATTGTCCATAAACAACTAGGGACCATTCCTAAATCCCAGAATAAACAAAAATTATCCAACCCAGTCTGTTTCGCTTGATGCATTATCATTGAATTTGGTGCTTCCCATGTGTCCCCTACCTCTTATTGCCTCTCTTGGGATGTATAAGGGTAGGAAACCATATTTCTTTTCCTTCCTTCCTTCCTTCCTTCCTTCCTTCCTTCCTTCCTTCCTTCCTTCCTTCCTTCCTTTCTTTCTCTCTTCTTTCTTTCTCTCTCTCTCTTTCTTCCTTCCTTTCTCTCTCTTTCTCTCTTTCTTTCTTTCTTTCTCTCTCTCTCTCTTTTTTTCTTTTTTTTTTTTTCAGATTTTGAGACAAGTCTTTCCTGTGTAGTCTTGGCTGTTCTGGACTCACTTTGTAGAACAGGCTGGCCTTGAACTCATAGAGATCCTCCTGCTTCTGTCTCCCAGTGCTGGGATGATAAGTGTGCACCATTGTGCCAGGCTGCAAACTGTATTTTCTTTTTCTTTTATTAATTTTTTAATTTTTTTACATTAATTACATTTTATTTCCTTTGTATCCCAGCTGTAACCCTCTCCCTCATTCCCTTCTAATCCCACTCTCCCTCCCTCATCTCCTCCCATGTCCCTTCCAAATCCACTCATAGGGGAGGTCCTCCTCCCCTTCCATCTAACCCAAACTATATTTTCAGTATCTGTTATCTATATATTTACTAGCCTCACAATATATGATGGTATGAAAAATAAACTTATACTGAACATTCACATTTGCATATAATAACCATTTTTAAACCATGTGTTTTCAAAACCTGTGAAAGAAATCCTAAGGCATCTGCAAAAGTGGTAGAACAAATACTTAGAAAATTTCTCCCTAATTATTTTATTTATTTTTTGTATGCATGTATGTATATGTGTGTGTGTATGCATGCATGTATATATGCCACTTGTGTATGATTGCCCAAAGATCCTGGAAAATGATGTCAGATACCCTGGAGCTGGAGTTACCAGTGGGTTTGAGCCACTCTTATATGGAGACTGGCGGACAGGCCTCTGAATTATAAGTCTCCAATAAACTCTTTCTACTATATAAAAAAAAGTTTTCCTAATAAATGCACTGAAAAAAAATGCTGGCAGAAATTGTCAAAATCATCTTTCAAAATTGTAGAAATTAGCCAAAGGCTAAAACTACTCCTTATGAATATTACTGCTCCAAGAGTTTCTCTGATATTAAGGGCAAACTTAAGCCTCTAGAATCTTGATTCTTTGTTTTTATGAGATTCGTGAGTGTGCTAATGAGTGGATCTCCACATATATATCTGTTTCTCATGATTTTTCTTGGGCTCTTTTCCTTCTGGTTTGTTTTGTCCTGTTATGATATATTTGTTTGGGATTTATCTTATTTTCTTTTATTATTATCTTTTATCTAAAAGATAATATTATATTATCTTTTATAAATAAAATATTATTATCTTTTATCTAGTCTGTTTTCTAATGAGAGAAAAAAAGGGGGTGGATCACGATGGGAGAGGAAGTAGGGAGAAACTGGAAGGTGTAGAGGGAAAGGAAAACACAATCAGGATATAATATGTAAGAAATAATATATTTTCAATAAAAGAAAAAAAAACAAACAAACAAGGAAACAGTTCCAGAGACATCAATGAGGACTTCTCCAAATCAATGTCTTCTTCAAATAACTTAATTTTCCTCACTCATAGTGATAAAATAAGCATGTATGTGTGTTTGCTAAAAAAAAAAATAATTTTTGATTTATGTTGAAGATTCAAAAACAAAGGAAATATCAAAGTTGTGTAGGAGTAGACAGGAGTATGGAGAGGGTGGTCATGGGAGAAGTTAGTGGGCTGTATTTGATCAAAATACATTGTATAAAATTCTGTAATAATTTAATAAAATATTCTTAAAAAAACAATACTTAGATATGAGTCTAAGTACTCTTAACAAAAGCTTTTAAAGAATTAAGGAGTTAATTTTTAAAGTATAAGATGAGTATGAATATTCATAAGGAAATATTCATATTCATAATAAATAATTTGTAGGGAGTATTACAGGGAAGGGACAATCCTAAGCTTGTATGTGAGTGAAGAATCACCTACACAGAACTTTGAAAAGCACATAGAAGCTTAAGAAATATTTGTGGCAAATAGAAAATTATATGCAACATAATAAAACATTTTTATAAAAAAGAATGTATGTAAAATACATGTTTTTAATTTATTTTTTTATTTATTACAATGTATTCAATTAGTATCCCAGCTGTAACCCCATCCTTTGTCCCTTTCCTCTCTCCCTCTTCTCCTCCCATGCCCCTTCCCCAGTCCACTGAGAGCAGAGGTCCTCCTACCCTTCCATCTGACCCGACCCTATCAGGTCTCAACAGGACTAGCTCCATTGTCTTCCTCTGGGGCATAGTGAGCCTGCTTCCCTTCAGGGGGTGGTGATCAAAGAGCCTGCCACTGAGTTCATGTCTGAGACAGTCCCTGGTCCCTGTTCCCCTTACTAGGGAACCCACTGGAGAATGAGCAGCACATCTGAGCAGGGGTTCTAGGTGATTTTCATGCATGGTCCTTGGTTGGAGTATAAGTCCCAGAAAAGACCCTGTTGGTATAATTTTTTTTTTAATGTATACACCTTACCCTTGTTCATTCAAATACCCCACCCCTAACTCTCTGGTTTTAATCCAGATATTGCATTGTGATACTCATTCGAAGCATCCTGTCTCAACTTTTTGTGTAAACAAAATAAAAGCAACTAGACACAATGTTGAGCAGGAAGGAGCCAGAGGACAGGAAAGAGGGGAGGAGCCAGAAGGTGGGAGAGGAGTGGGAGGAGAAGGGCTGAGAGGAGAGCAAGAAGAGCAGTGCTGGAGGAGAGATCTTGGAGGACGTGGAACATGAACCAGACCTAAGATTTCACAAAAAGCAAGTATAATGTGGGAAATCTAAATGTTAGGAACCTGAGGGCTTGGAGGTTTAGGAGGGAGTAAATATTGCCCAGCATTGTGTTCTAGGTTAACTAAAAACCCAGTCTCTGTGTGGTGATTTGGTTATACAGCTGCTGATGATTAACAGCAGCATTACCAGAAGATAAACCAATAGTAAATATTAATCGTCACATACAACAAGACTCCTGGGCCCAGATTTTTTGGTTCTGTTGCTCTCCTTGTGGAGATCCTGTCCCCTCCATGTCTTTCTATCTCTCTTTTCTTTTATAAGATTCTGTGCACTCTGTCCAAAGTTTGGCTATGAGTCTCAGCATCTGCTTTGATACACTGCTGGGTAGGGTCTTTCAGAGGTCTTTTGTGGTAAGCTC